GGTGTGTGTTTTACTTTATTTTATATATTTATTTTACTTTTACTATTTTTTTTATTTTTTTATGTTTGTTGTTACATACACATACTTGTGATTCAGTATTTTTTATAACTATTGCCAGATGCACTTTCGCGATTACCAAAACGTTTAAAAAACTGCCAGCAAATAAATAATTTGTGCACATAAAAAATGTACTTTGACAATTACCAGTAAAAACAAGACTGTTTACTTACATATATTCTATAGTACCACAAAAAGTATGCGTCATGGCACCGTCTTCTAAGGCTTCTTTACATAAACCAAAATCTGTTAATACAACATGCCCCTGGGCATCCAGCATGATATTCTCAGGTTTCAAGTCTCTGTAGATAATACCTAGTTTATGTAAATGTTCCAAAGCTAATACGATCTCTGCCAGATAAAAACTACAAAGAAAAAATATGATTGTGTTTAATTATTAGAACTAAAGAAAGTTTTAAATTCCAATAGGTAGACAATGAAAAGTAGGGACATATTTTTATATGTATGAGTACTTACCATGCCACATCTTCTAAAAATATTCCTTCTCTTTCTAAATGCATAAAAAGTTCCCCACCTGTAAAAAAAAAGTTTATAACAGTAGACATTAATTCCATATATTATAAATTATAGACACTAGTACGAGCAAATGTTACTACGGTACAGTATATACAACAGATATTGCACAGATCATCAATTTCCAATGATACAACAGTGGCAATGAAAGCCTTAGGTTTGATTAGAAATAACTATAGCTACTGGTTTTCATTTCAACCAGTACAAATCATTCTCATATCGTACAAAATTATATAATTCAAACATTAATTAGTTAGACATTTTGAATCGAAAAACAAAACATCACGTGTGAAGACACCTGATAGTAAAAACAACATGGCCGCCAGTTGACCAATTCAAATCAAATCACAAAACAAACTCATGTGCATCTGATTCAGTAATCAAGCATGTGTGATGTTCTTACAACATTTGAAAGAAATTGGCCCAGAAACAAATCATCGTACTATATTGTCTTTGTACCTACTTCTAACAAAATTGGTCAAAGCATGTCTGAGAAATGGGCAAGGACACAAGAAAATAATACCAACATGGCAGTCAGTCAATTATTTTGAAACAAATCACACAACGAACTGATGTGCATCATTAACCAACCATGAGTGGTGTCAATACCAAGTTTGAATGAAATCAGTCAAGACAAGACTGAGAGACAGTTGATGACATATTGAAATTTTGATTTTTGGCATTATTATTATTGCTTGCCAGTTGGTCAAAGGTCAACCAAACAAAAGT